CTCTTGTCATAGGAGTCGGCAGAGTCCCAGCTCTTGTTACACCACTCGGCAGCGAACGAACTCTTGTCACATCAGTCGGCAGCGCCCAGCTCTTGTTACACCAATCGGCAGCGAACGAACTCTTGTCACACCAGTCGACAGCGTCCCAGCTTGTTACACCACTCAGCAGCAAACGAACTCTTGTCGCATCAGTCGGCAGCGTCCCAGCTCTTGTTACATCAATCGGCAGCGAACGAACTCTTGTCACAGCAGTCGGCAGCGTCCCAGCTCTTGTTACATCAATCGGCAGCGAACGAACTCTTGTCACAGCAGTCGGCAGCGTCCCAGCTCTTGTTACACCAATCGGCAGTGGATGGACTTTTATCACATCAGTCGACAGCGTCCAAGCTTTGTATGTCATCACGCGCAAAATTGAGTGGGTAAACAACATAGTTCGGGCGCACCAGAATGAACTTGCTGTGCCTAAGGCTTACGGCGACATCAGTGCCGACAGCTGGCAACTACCCTACCAGTAGCACTGGGAGTTGGTGGCCAGCTGGGTCAAAGTTTCGTCTCATCCAGGAAAGTGCGTACCCATATAGCGGTCCCCTGGTGCACGTGTCTCCACACCCCTTCAAGTCTATGACAGGTATTAAAACTTGCATGTGCGTGAACGCATGTTGACAATTAAAAATTCGCGGTGGACAACAAGACCTGGAGAAATCTAGAACACGCGCTAGTTTTTTGCGTTATGCAAAACATTTTACACATCAGTATTGCCGTTACCGAGACATTCAGTGAGCTTTGTCCCTACGTCTCCCCGACTGCGAATTTATCTGTGCGCCCCCACGCCCAAAAATCGTTTCTGTTGATTTCTATGCCCCTTGTCTTTTCCACCACGAGGGCCGGCTGAACCAGCAATATAGAGATAAACCAGCGGCATCTGCTGGTTGCGCTGCCGGCAAGAGGCGGGTGGCAGCGCTGCGTTGCACATGGTAAATAATGCAATAGTTGCCGGAGTAATCAAAACATGTGTAACAAGATTTTTGCATTGAAACAAAAATTGTGCCCTTTTTCCCAGCGTCACGGTCCGATAGGTTGTTTGATGGACGTCAACGCGAAAATGGTACGGATTTAGATGTCCATAAGTTTTGTCCGTCTTCTTCGGTGTCCTGACTTCGGTGGTCACCTGTCGACCTGAAGGCTTTAGAACCGGATGTTGTTGGATTTATGTCGTGGTAAATGATGCTGGCGCTTATGTTTCACGGGTGTAGCTCATTATAAACGAAATGGCGGCTGGGTGTGTTTGGTCACTGTAGCACGTACCTTTCAATTTACATAAAATACCGTGAAGATAGACCGGGAGCTATCATGTCTGGTGAAGCTGGGGTGGCCTTGAGTAGCACCACACTTTAAACATTCTTTGTTTATCACGCTTTCATGGGGCACTCAACGGCTCATTCAGCATATTCTGTTACGATAACTCACGTTACGTCGTATTGCTTCCTTAAGACGTTACAGTCACCGAGCTGCATCATTTACCTACTAGCGCCATAATCCTACATCTGTCACCGAGCCCTAAACCAGCGCTCGCTGTCCACAGGTCGAAGACCGCCGTTGGACAACACGGCTGCATGTAAGCGCACGGACCCGGCCACTCGCGTGTTACTCTGCGACAAGCGTGAGGTAAACACGGAACCGGCGCTGGTAAACACAGAGAACCAAGGCGTTCGCCCCCGGGAGCCCTCAGCTGCTGGCCAGTACGGTTTGGTGACGTCACCGGCCGATCGGGCCATCGGGCCAAACGTTACGCGACGTTGAAAGTGTCCTCAGGTGGGAGCAGCTGGAGCTGTGGCTGTCATGCTCGCGGCCGACACCGCGTCAGCCACCGCCGCCTGAATCCGGCCGTGCTTCGAATCCACATCACCGCGGCTGCAGGGCGGCATGTGGGCGAGGAGGGGGAGGGGTGCCATCGAGGGCGACGGTGGAGGTGTGCGGCGAGATCGCGCGCACGCCTGCTATGGATGACAAAGGAGATGACAGAGGAGGTGACAGAGGAGATGCGGGTGGGTAGACAAAAAAACAAAGCCGGAAGCCATCACACCTGGCACCTGGCGCCGCGCAGGAAGAAGGCACACGCATGTCATGTCATGTCATGTCATGCATGTCATGTCTGACAGGTGTGTCGTACACGCCGGGACATGTCATGTCTGACAGGCGTGTCGTACACGCCGGGGCGTGTCATGTCTGACAGGCGTGTCGTACACGCCGGGACATGTCATGTCTGACAGGCGTGTCGTACACGCCGGGGCGTGTCATGTCTGACAGGCGTGTCGTACACGCCGGGGCATGCCATGTATGACAGGTGTGTCGTACACGCCGGGGCGTGTCATGTCTGACAGGCGTGTCGTACACGCCGGGGCGTGTCACGTCTGACAAGCGTGTCGTACACTCCGGGGCGTGTCGTACACGCCGGGGCGTGTCATGTCTGGCAGGCGTGTCGTACACGCCGGGGCGTGTCGTGTCTGACAGGCGTGTCGTGCACGCCGGGGCGTGTTGTGTCTGACAGGCGTGTCGTACACGCCGGGCGTGTCATGTCTGATGGATGTGTCGTGAGCTCGCTTCATCTGTCAGAATGGGCGCCGAACAGAGCACCACACTCTGACCTGGACGCGGCTGACGGAGAGGTCACAGCGGAAGGACGCCGGGCGGCGCAGCGCTTCTGGGCGGCGCCAGCCGCGGACCATTTGTCGGACGGGAGGAGAGGTCGGCGCCACCAGCAGCCTGCAGCGCAAGGCCACCAGCGCCGTCGTTTATGCCACACTGGCGCCCGCTGGCGACGTCCTGTTGTTTTCGACCGGCACCACTGGTGACGTAGAATCTGTGACGCGAGGTCACGGTCGGGCTTCTTGGAACTGTTTTGCGATTTGTTGGTGGCGCCGCAGTGTGCCGGGGGCACGGCATCGGTGGAAGTGATGGAGGCACTGCGGCGTGGAATGCGGCGCAGTCATCCAGCCTGCTTTCCCGCTCCGCGGTGTTACTAACACGGACGTTTACGCGTCGGGGAGGGGGGGGGGTCCACGGGTGTCTGGGGCGGGTGGGCCGGGGTCCCACAGGTGCCAGCAGTGTGTGTGTGGGGGGGGGGGGCGGGCGCGGACGCCTTATTCAGTCCGCCCAAGACAGTCCGGCGAACATGCTGCTTCCACGAGCGGTAGAGATTTCAAAACCTTGAGCCAGGGGAAGACAGTTCAGAAAAAACTTCCCCAGACGCTGTCTCCGGGGGTGGGAGTTTCGCTGTCTCCGGGGTGGAGATGCGTTGGGTGGGGGCGGGGTCTGACCGGGAAAAGATGGCTGGAGCTCTCACCAAACTGCACCAAAAAGTTTTTACCTTGAATTTGACCCACTTTCGTCTCTGCTAAGGGAGGCTGGAGCCCACCAGCCTGAAGGAAGATTTTAAGGGGGAATCGTAAAGCAGACGCAGCGAAACAAACTTCTTAGAATAATTGGAACCAAGGCAGTTCAATTGTGGCATGCCTCAACTGCACGCAAATTTCCGGCTAATTGTCCTATCCCTGCCCGTGCGCGAAGCAACATCCGTATACACACAAGTGCGCACGTGCAACCACTCTAAAACGTAATCACGGCAGCGCGCGTCTGACCAATGAAATTCCGAACGCAACCTCGCTCGTCGCTACACTCCCAAGCAACCGGCACCGAGCGATTTGAAAGCAGACGGTCGCCGCGCGGCCGTGAACCGCCCCGGCCCACATGTCCCGTTTTACAGCGTCTAGACGGCGGCAGCGTGATGGCAGGCCCAGCGGACGCCGGGCGCGCCGCCTGCAACAGCCAGCTGACCTTTCCGGACGGGCGGTCCGCACCTGTGACGTCACCACGACACGCTGCCGACTATTCCGGGCTGTGCGAGAGGAGGCGATGTCGGTGGGGCGTCGTCGCGTCCCGCCGCACACCGTTAATTGTCTCGAGTCTGGACTCGCGTCGAGTCTGAGTCTGGGCTCGGACGGGCCGGGCATCGGCGCCGGCCGGCCGTACGAAGAGCGAGCATTGCTGGTTTTTCCGCGCCGCGCGACGCGCGCCGTGGCCGCCTGTTGCCACCGCGATCTGTGTCTTGTGTATGTTACCAAGGAACGGAGCGGCGACCGGGCGGCGCGGCGCGGCGTAAACAGCTAAAACGGCGCCCCACGACACACCACGCGCACCACGCCCGACCGCAGAGCCAGGCGGCCCAAGTGACGAGCTGGGCCGGTGACAGGGTCCAGAGCGGGCCAGTCAGCGAGGGCGCGAGCGGTCGTGCGCCTGGCCTCGGGCACTGTGTCATGAAGGGGACCTGACGGCGTCGTCGTAACGACGGCCTGTGGCATGCCGTCGCAGACAGCTACACCCGAAGGTGAACTCGTGGTGCAGCGGCCGCGGCGGCGGGACGCAGCCGCGATAACACATGGCACTGCGCTCACAACTCTCAGTACGAGTTAAACCAAATAAACCGCGTCGAGCGCAGCACCGACGTCGACGCGGTTTATTTGGAGTGGTCGGCTGCGGCGGGAGACACGTCAGCCGGAAGCGGGCGTCGGGGACACCTTGACAACGCTGCCACGTCGCACAGACAGACGGGCTCGGCAGGCGGCCTCGCAGACGGGGTACATGGTACGGGGTGCTGCGCACCCGCCGGCGCCCAGAGTAAAAGACGGGCTCAGCAGGCGGCCTTGCAGGCGGGGTACATGGTACGGGGCGCTGCGCACCCGCCGGCGTCCAGGGTAAAAGACGGGCTCAGCAGGCGGCCTCGCAGACGGGGTACATGGTACGGGGCGCTGCGCACTCGCCGGCGTCCAGGGTAAAAGACGGGCTCAGCAGGCGGCCCTCGCAGACGGGGTACATGGTACGGGGCGCTGCGCACCCGCCGGCGTCCAGGGCAAAGCACCCGTCGGCGGCGTGGGCGAGCCGACCGTGGAGCGATTTCGTTCTGTGTTTGGCTGCCGCTGGTGTCTGCACGACCGCCATGCCTCTCCGCCTCTCCTGGCCGGGTGGCACGGCATGGCATGGCACGGTTACCAGTGGGCATGGCAGGGATGTGATCGCCGCCGGTGACCACTGTGACCCGCCGCAACCACCATTTGAAGGGCGCGAATGGATTCTGATGTTACCATGGGCAAGGTGACCTGCTTAAACCGCTTCCACCCCCCTCCGTCGACGGCACCGCCTCCTCCGAGTGTCAGCAGACGAGAGACAGGAAAATAGGTTACATCTGGATGGGTTTGGAGATGACAGGCTCTGATTTTGTTGAGCTCTAGTGCCGGCTTGCAATGCCCGTGTACTAACGCAACCCCGTGTTCGCGGTGTCCATGTACTAGCTTAACCCCCGGCCCACAGTGTCCATGCACTAACGTAACCCACAGACCACAGTGTCCGTGCACTGGCATAACCCACAGATCACGGTATCCGTGCACTAGCGTAACCTCCAGGTCACGGTATCCGTGCACTAGCGTAACCTCCAGATCACGGTATCCGTACACTAGAGTAACCCCCAGACCACAGTGTCCGTGCACTAGCGTAACCCCCAGATCACGGTGTCTATGTACTAGCGTAAGCCCCAGATCACAGTGCGTATGCACTAGGGTAACACCCAGATCACGGCGTCCGTGCACTAGCGTAACCCCCAGATCACAGTGTCCGTGCGCTGGCATAACCCACAGATCACGGTATCCGTGCACTAGCGTAACCTCCAGGTCACGGTATCCGTGCACTAGCGTAACCGGCTATTCAACGACCACATTCTGGGTGTCGGGGTCCCGTACCGGTAGAGGGAGCCAAGATATCGCTTCCGCAACCGATCTTCGATGATGCGACATCTGTCCGCTTTTGTCAAATATCCTCATATGACATCTTTACGTCACCCACTGGTCATACGAGTTCGAAGGCAAAACATCGCTGCTAGCCCTACACCTTAAGTGCATTTGATGGTTGACGCGAAAGCAGTTCGGCTTCACTTACTACATCGTATACTCTATTTCCGCGCTCATCACATTCATGCCACAGTTACAACTGTGGCAGCTAGCACCATATATGTAGTAGGCTATTGGTAATGGGTTCCCGGCCGACATTCAACTGGCCTGGTCAGCGTTTAACCGGCGCGACCGGCTGTGCTCACGCCTCCGGGCCACTGACCACGTGACCTGGCCGAGGTCACGTGTGCGGGTCAGAGCGGCCGCAAACCTGCGGCAGGGACGATAACATGCGGCCGTGAGTTGTGTTGTCCAGGATGCTGGCTGTAAATAAAAGTGGCTGAAGTGAGTCAGGGTCTGCGGATAGATCCTGGATTAAATGTGTCAGGGATGAATAACGAGAAGTGTCAAATATGTGAGACGGGAGATTGTATCAACGCCGGTCAATGACCGTTCGACCACTCTGAAGCTCCAGAACTTGACTCACTGCCCGTGCCAGAACGAATTTATGGACCGATGGCCGGTGAAGCAACACCAGTCCTTTGCCCGCCGGAGCGGCATTTGGAGCAATACCGGCCCTCTGCCCACCGGAGCGGCATTTTGATTCTCCCATGTCAGGTGCGTGTTCCGAAGTGACAACGGGAGCAGTCTTAGTTTATCAAACCTTCAAGAAGGATGTGGTCAGGTCTTTGACTCCGACTGGGCTTTCGCCGCCAATAGGTCTCTGTAATAATCGTGCGGTAAGCCTTGGTGCCGAATGCTTTCCATGGAACGCTCCAAAACGTGCACACTACGGTTCTTTTTCTACTGCAGAGGCAATCAGCCGTTCTCGGTCCACGCTTATCCAGAAATAGGTGTGTAGGGAGGGTATGGATTTCAGACACGAATGACGCATAGCTTTTCACTCAGCCACCATATTGTTAGGCTCTTGACAAAGGTCGCTGATATTTTTTGTTATATAAATGTATTCCGAATGGTTTGCGTGGGCGACTTCGGGTCCAGAGTACCTGCCAAGCATGCACCGATTTGCTACTTTCCCTGTTGGATTCGCTGCAGGGTTGGTTGAAACAGAATATCCATCAACAGATCGAAGCATTTAAGCGCACCATTTTTCAGTGATCACTGACTTAAACAGCAGAACATCAGTGTAGCGGAAAAAACGCGCGGGCGGTCAGCGCCAGAGAACTCGTGCAGGGTACGCGCGGGCGGCCAGCGTCAGAGAACTCGTGCGGGGGTTACGCAAGCGGTTAGCGCCAGAGGGTGGCGGGAAGGACAGCACGAGCGGACAGCGCCAGAGAGCTAGCGGGAAGGACGGCACGTATGGTCGGCGCCAGATAACTGGTGATAAGGACAGCACGAGCGGTAAACGACAGAGAGCTGCCGGGAGGAACGGCACGGGTGGTCAGCGCCAGAGAACTGTCGGGGAGGACAGCACGAGCGGTAAACGACAGAGAGCTGGCGGGAAGGACAGCCCGACCGACCTCGGTCCAGCACAAAAGTATACACTGGCGCAGGAGCACAGGTGTGCTGCCTTTCAGCTCAGATCTGCTGAGCCCGCGGAGGCCGGACGACAGAGCTCGACGCTAGTGTTGGCGCACACCGTGCGGATGTTGGTTCGAGACCCTCTGCCAGGCGGACTTCGGTGTCCTTCCTCAACGTGAGCGTAAGGGATTGCGAACCTCACGGGGGTAACGATTACGAGCGCCGTAACATGGCCCAAACATTGACCGATCCATCAAGCTGACCAGCGGTGCAGCGCCGTCGAATCCAGTTTGCTTCTTCGACACTGCTTATTCGGAAACCTAGCCATGCACTGCTCTACAAAATAAGCTCGCCGTTTTGGACGTAACTAACAGCGAACGTCACGGGGCGAGTCGATCACACGGCACCCCAGGGCCGAACAGGAGACGAACTGACCTTGCAGCTTGCCGTGTCCGATGCGGCGCACCAGTTTTCCGAGCGGGTCGAACACGGACAGGCAGCGGTTCTCGAAGTCGGAGACCACGTAGTTGCCGTCTGGCGTGGCTGTGACGCCGCAGGGCCGCTGCATCTGACCCGGACCGCGGCCGCGCACACCGAACCTGTCGATGTGGCCCGAGGGCGGTCACCTGCCGCCCACCGGGGCCGCATGGCGGCACACGGGTCCGACGCAGCCGGCGGAGCGGAGGGGCCAAGCATGACGTGTGGCGCGCGTCTGTGGGCTCCCGATCTGAGGTCCGGAAAACCGCGCTATGCGTGCTTCTACGGTCGGGGCACGCAGCGACGGTGCTTTCAGAGCCTTGGACCTCGTTACCGCCGGAGCATGAGCGTTTGGTTCGTACTGTCGACATGACAGTACCGCCGAAGCATGAGCGTTTGATTCGTACTGTCGACATGACAGTACCTCAGGAGCATGAGCGTTTGGTTCGTACTGTCGACATGACGGTACCGCCGGAGCATGAGCGTTTGGTACGTAATGTCGACATCCGCCGGAGCATGAGCGTTCGGTTCGTACTGTCCACATGACAGTACCGCCGGAGCATGAGCGTTCAGTTTGTACTGTCGACATGACAGTACCGCCGGAGCATGAACGTTGGTTCGTATTGTCGACATGACAGTACCGCCGGAGCATGAGCGTTTGGTCCGTATTGTCGACATGACAGTACCGCCGTGAGCATGAGCGTTTGGCTCGTATTGTCGACATGACAGTTCCAGAGACAATCTAGATACAAAGAAATCGGGTGAGCTGGCGCCGTAATGAAAACAAAAACGGCGAGTGACTCGCTTCCACCTAACGACGCAGCCCCAGCAGCACACACTGTCCCGGTCCCGAGGGGTCTAGCGTCCAAACAAACAAACAGACACGGCCGGGGCGAGCTCGGCTGGGATCAGGATCGTCCCCGGTCCGGGGTGACCAGAACCGGCGGGGTTCATCAGGGTCGTCCCCGGCTCGGTGTGACCAGAGCTCGGCTGGGTTGATCAGGATCGTCCCCGGCCCGAGGTGACCAGAGCCGGCGGGGTTCATCAGGGTCGTCCCCGGCTCGGTGTGACCAGAGCTCGGCTGGGTTGATCAGGGTCGTCCCCGGCCCGAGGTGACCAGAGCTCGGCTGGGTTGATCAGGGTCGTCCCCGACTCGGTGTGACCAGAGCCGGCTGGGTTGATCAGGATCGTCCCCCGGCTCGGGGTGACCAGAGCTCCGCTGGGTTGATCAGGGTCGTCCCCGGCTCGGGGTGACCAGAGCTCGGCTGGGTTGATCAGGATCTTCCCCGGCTCGGTGTGACCAGAGCTCGGCTGGGTTGATCAGGGTCGTCCCCGGCCTGGGGTGACCAGAGCCGGCGGGGTTGATCAGGATCGTCCCCGGCTCGGTGTGACCAGAGCTCGGCTGGGTTGATCAGGGTCGTCCCCGGCCCGGGGTGACCAGAGCCGGCGGGGTTGATCAGGATCGTCCCCGGCTCGGTGTGACCAGACCTCGGCTGGGTTGATCAGGGTCGTCCCCGGCCCGGGGTGACCAGAGCTCGGCTGGGTTGATCAGGGTCGTCCCCGGCTCGGTGTGACCAGAGCTCGGCTGGGTTGATCAGGATCGTCCCCGGCCCGGGGTGACCAGAGCTCGGCTGGGTTGATCAGGGTTGTCCCCGGCCCGGTGTGACCAGAGCTCGGCTGGGTTGATCAGGGTCGTTCCCGGCTCGGTGTGACCAGAGCTCGGCTGGGTTGATCAGGGTCGTCCCCGGCCCGGGGTGACCAGAGCTCGGCTGGGTTGATCAGGATCGTCCCCGGCCCGGGTGAGCAGAGCTCGGCTGGGTTGATCAGGATCGTCCCCGGCCCGGGGTGACCAGAGCTCGGCTGGGTTGATCAGGGTCGTCCCCGGCTCGGTGTGACCAGAGCTCGGCTGGGTCGATCAGGATCGTCCCCGGCCCGGGGTGACCAGAGCTCGGCTGGGTTGATCAGGGTCGTCCCCGGCTCGGGGTGACCAGAGCTCGGCTGGGTCGATCAGGATCGTCCCCGGCCCGGGGTGACCAGAGCCGGCGGGGTTGATCAGGATCGTGCCCGGCCCGGGGTGACCAGAGCCGGCGGGGTCAGGGATAGCCAGGACGTGACCGGTGCCAGGGTCGTCGGGGACGGTCCGGCTGCGGCGGCGCGGTCACGGCCTCGCTGCGGCGGCCAGGTCACGCGCCGGCCGGCCGATCGCCGCCGGATCGCCGGTAATTGGGAGCTGCCTCGCCGCCCGGCCGGCCTTCGCAGCCAGCTGTGGGCGGCAGGCTGGGCGGGAGCGGTCCAGATGCCGGCTGCACGAGCGAGACCGGCGCCAGGCCGCCGCCGCCGCCCCCGCGACCGTCTGGCGCCGCCAACGCGCCCGCAGGCTGCACGGGGAGAATGATACCATATCACCAACAGCTCGGAAGACGACACGAGGCCCCCCCCCCCCCCGCGGCTTGATAGCACGGTTCGCCTCGCCTGCAGTTGTGGCACCAAGTCACGGACTCCTCGGGGCTGACGTTAGTTCAAAGTCTGGGGACGAATACGTGGTCAGGCCCCGCCTCGGAGACTGACCCCGGGTCATACCTTAACCAGCACCGTGACACCGGGCCATGATCTTCCCAGGACATGATCTTACCAGGTCACGGTCTGCCCTGGGAACTGGCATCAATTACAGCCCGTCCGGGGGCTGACACCAGACTGAAGTCTGCTCTGGGTGACTGATCAGAGATCACATCGTCGTAGAAGAACTGACTCACGCAGGTCTGGGCCTGCCTGTGAGCTGGCACTAGATAATGATCTATCCTGGAGACAGATGAGGACGGATGATGATGGTGATCTTGAACAGTGCCATAAAGATAAGAAATGTTATGAAATAATTAAATGATTGCTAATATATTTTCATGTAGTACTTCCCATCGTGTGTATCCAGGGCCTGGTGGTGCCGTTTTCCAGCAGTGTTGTTATACGAACATTGTAAGTTCTGAAACTGCCCGGATTTTACGGAAATGCTTGGTGTTTTCAGCAGTGCTGACAGTCATCAGTGACCAAAGCACTGTCGGAAACGTAGAAAATTGGCTCGATATATTTCAAGGATTGCTTGACATGTTTAAACCAGCATATCCCTTGGTGTATTGTGGGTCGGATAGTTCAGCATAAGAAGTCAGAGCGTCATAATGAATAACAGTTATGAGTAACGGTTCCGTATGATATCCTGTGCATAATGGCCACTACGAACGTAATAAAACAATGATTGCTATCAGCGCATTTTCGCCCAGCTCCGGGGGGCATTGATCTGCCAGCCGAGTTTGAAATCCCACCGACAAAATTCCCCGCTGATTACACCACACACCGTCACTCAAAGGCCTTACTTAAAAGCTTCCACACTTGGTCCCCGAAGGCGTGCCTTACCGACGGTGACGAATACGTACGCAGACAAAAACGTCTGGCGCCCACGTGACCTGGCTGGGGCGACAGAGTGGGCGGGCCGCTCTAATGCGCGTGACGAGCCGGTGGCGAGCGAACGTGACGCTGGCGGTACAGGCCGCCATCAACAGAGGTAATGCCGGCTCTAACGGCAGAGACGCCGCCATCAGCCGGGCCCGAACGCCAGCCGTGCGGCGTCATCCACAGAGAGAGCTGATAGGTGGCTCTCTCCTGCACACAGTGCGTAGGCTGGCGCGCGTACCTCAGCGCTAGCGGGTGTTTGCCAGGGCTATTAATAATGGCGGATAGCACGAAGCTCAGCATACATATTGCAATGCTATACCAAAACCAGACAAGATGAGCCATGCAGACTGGAAGTGTATTTTAAACTTGAGACTTGGTAGCCTGCAATTGAAGGTAGCATCGCGCAGATGCCCCAACAGTGAATGCCTTTACGTCTAAATAAATGCTATGTCTAAAGTATTTTCCAAAAGGTCTCAAGGAATTGTACACCGCACAATATTGATAGCATGTATTGACTGTTGTAAACAATTCAGCAGATACCGTAGCAACTAGTAGAGAAGTTTTGCAGAGCCCGGGTTCGAAAGCACCATCTTTCAATTATGAATTGGACACGTCACCGGTTGAGCCAGTGAGACCGCGGTGTATCCTCTGAAAGTCGAAATATTTACGGCGTGCTGTGCATGTGAATTTGGACCCGGTTCGCTGTGAGAGTTTGGCTCCTCTAGACAAAAGTCAATGAAATGGCGCAAGATCATGAACCACATTTTTTGTTGCCGGGTTCATCGATATTTGCGTGATGTGTAGTCATGGCTCTACAAAAAGCAGAAATTCAACACATGGACGCTGTGGGCTAATAAGAAAAGCGCGTCGTGGAGCGGATGTGTTACCAACGTATCTCGGTGGGGGCTGGGCGCTGGCACCTGATGACGGGTAAGGCATGACCCCCGCGCCCATTCGCTGACAAACAGCCGCCAGAGGTGGGGCAAACGATGAGGTAACGGGCAGTGGCGCGGCCTAGACCGGGATTTTGGGTCCATGCCCCCCCCCCCCCCCTTCCCTGGAGGTGGTGGGGGCTCTGGAGGTCCATGGTCCCTGTGCTTTTTGACCGCTCGCTGCTTCCATAGAGAGCCTAACACATCACAAAACAGGCCCCAGGCATCAAAAGAGGATCTCGAGCCCAAAATATCCACAGAATCCGAAACCAGCGCCCCAAGCGACGATCAGAAGACGGCCATTGCTGGAAGGGCCCCCTTCACCCGATTCCGCCCCTTTTCGTTTCAATCGCAACAACGCCTGTGGCCCCGGGAGCGGCTGGGGATAGGCGGGCGTACAGGCAGGATGCGAACACATGCTGGTCGCGCCGTCACTGCAGCTGGACGCGCTGGTTTCGTTGCATCCCCGCCTCCGTACAAACGGATACCCGTCCCGCTGTCACAGCCCGACGCGCCGGCTGCGCTGCACTCTCGCCGCCGTTTCGACGGACCATATCGCGGTGAGTGCGCCTGACTCCGCTGCCGTCGGATGCTCACTTCAGCTTGCACTCGCACTCCGGTGAGAAGACCCGGACGGCTGGCCCCACCGGCCGCCGGATGCTCACCTCAGTTCACACTCGCCCTTTGGTAAGAAGGGCTGGACCTGCTGGTCGTCAGACGCTTACCTCAGCTTACACTCCCCCTCCAGTGAGAAGAGCTGGACGCACTGGTTGTTGGAGTCGGCCACCATCAGGCGGTTTGTTGCGGTCGCGAACCACACGCCCTGGCGTCACAGACACAGACACGTCAGTCACAGCAGGGTCTCGGCCCAGTCCCAGCCGGCCATTACATCTAAGGCCCTTTCGTGCCTTGCACAACGTACTTAGCAAAGGGCGTCGGGAGATGTGTTCAGGAGCGCAATATAGGTCATATTCTATATAATGTGGGACTATCGTTACGTTTGAGGGACAGGAGAGAAGGCAGCACAAGGCATATCCTACAAAGGGTCGTCGTGGCAACGGCGGCTTGGCCGCCTAGAACTGAGACGTAGCTCACAAAATTCGGTTAGTAATAGCACCTTGATTGATACGGCTACGCATATCGCCGCTGCCGCTGCAGCCTTCGCGAGGAAAACCGATGAGACAAAGAGCGTCGTGATATGTGCGACGAACACATTGAATGCAACTCCGGCTCCAGGGACTTCTATTGGTAACCGATCGAATGCATTGGACGCAAGCTCATCAATGTTTCTTAGACGCCAAGCTTTGAACCAAAGTTCTGTTTACCGGTCTGTGAAGCGACTCGATTTCTTCTAATGCTGTCCATTTAAACCCGTACGCCTTGAGTTATAAAAAAGCATCTAAGAAAATCGACGCTTGCAATTTTTGAAATTTCTGTGGCAGGAATTGAATGGTGTATTTGTTTTGTAATTAAATATTTGTGGTTGATAAATAAAATATAATTCGATAATCAAACATAAGTAGCATGCGATCTTTGGCAAATACACGGGAAGTGGTTCAACCCATATAGCTCACTATTTTAGGGTGAATAATCACTGGTCTTATAAGATAACAATTTATCAAAGTTTTTTCAGTACAGCATACAGTGCAGGGGGTGCTGTAATACAGCCACACAGTGTCCACATGATATCAGGGCATTGTTTTTGTAGCGCTATACAATGTGCGCAACAAAGGCATGTGCTTTCTTTTGAAACACAGGGCGCATTCGCACCCACGAAGCAGCACTACAAAGCAGCGGATGGATGACGTCCGGTCGGGTTTTGTTCGCGGCTGGCACCGCCCCGCGAGAATGGTTTCATCAGCCGCTGATGCTTCCGAGGCGCGACATGCCCAGGTCGGGGCGCCGTCTCGGTCAGCGGTGGCAGACGGGTCCCGTGCGGCCTGGCCCAGCGGCGCCGGTGGGGACGGTGTCGCCGGTGCGACTGTCGCCCCGGTCCGACCCCGGGGGCGGTCACCCCGGCTCCTGCCGGCAACCGGAGGTTCACTGCGGCACGACTGCTCCGGCAGCCTCGCGCGTGGGTTTGCCCCCACCCCGAGGCGACCGGAGCCGACGCCGCGCGCTGCTGCTCTGTCGTCCCGGGTCTCAGCGAGCCAAGCCGCGGGCACCACACCCGGCGTCGGTGGTCGACCCCGCCCCGCCGCCGCCGGTCCGCGGGCCGCCTCCCGAGCGGCCGGCGCAAGACCGCCGCCCACTCTTCCAGGGCGAGCAATTAGTTCGGAATAGCCTGGACGCGTGGTGCCTGCGACGGGCCCGTCTGCGCGTTTTACGCCGGTCCGGCCCCTGTGCCGGTGTCGGCAGCCACGGCCGATCGCGGCGTCTGCCGCTGACCGGCAGCAAGTTGCGCGCCTCGTGCCGCCGCTCGGCCGCCCCGGGCGAGCGCGGCGTCTGCCGCTGACCGGCCGCAAGCTGCGCGCCTCGTGCCGCCGCCCGGCCGCCCCGGTTCGATGCTCGGTGCCGGTGGCGATCGAGACCACAGTCAGCGTAAGACTTCTGAACAACCTGCGTAGCAGTAAATGATAGCTGGGCTTGTTTGACTGAAGTGGCCCGGCCGGGGCACTCGCGGCAAACTGCGAATACCACGGGGATCACTTAAGTCGTCCGCTTTCAGCTGGAACTCTGATCCCATGCCACTTCACAGCGCATAAGATGAGATCAAAAAGTTGGCGGCGACCATTAGCAGTAACCAGAATGCGTAAACGGAGCCGCACACAAATGTTCGAGAGAGGATGGCATGGACAAAATTTCAGTCAACACATGGAGGTTGTTGCCGTTTTTGTGATGCTTCGGAAGTTTTGGGATGATTTTGGTCCAATATGAAGCTGGCCGAAACGAGCATGCAAGGAGCTAGATCTCTTTGAAGAAATACAAAGCTCCAAATACGCCGATGTATGTTGTATCGCTGGTTAAGTTTTGGTGGAGAATGTGAATTTGTTCAGAAGTGAACACATCAGTGCAAATGTCTTACTCCGCTACACCCATTCCACAATTGAAGCCCAACGCCTTCGCCGTCTAGGAAATGCATTTTTTCTTACCACGGATATGCTACCTTCACCTTAAACACAAGTGTACTTAAGCCGGTATATTCACATGTTATGTAACGTGCAAAGCCTACACAGCTACTATAAACACCTCGGCGGCGGGGAGTGGTCACACACAGGGGCGTAGGCAGGGCGGCACGGAGGGCTCGCCCTCCCCCCCCCCGCCCCCCCCCCCCCCCTGCTTGTGTCCAGAAGGACCCGAAGAGCCCTCCGGGACCGACTCGTGACTGACGATGAAGGGCCCGATTTGAATGCCGGAAGGGCTGGCCGAATGTCGTGTTAAGGGGACCCGGCGCGCCGGGACGGGCTCTCAAATGTCGTGTTAAGGGGACCCGGCGCGCCGGGACGGGCTCTCAAATGTCGTGTTAAGGGGACCCGGCGCGCCGGGACGGGCTCTCAAATGTCGTGTTAAGGGGACCGGCGCGCCGGGACGGGCTCTCAAATGTCGTGTTAAGGGGACCCGGCGCGCCGGGACGGGCTCTCAAATGTCGTGTTAAGGGGACCCGGCGCCGGGACGGGCTCTCAAATGTCGTGTTAAGGGGACCCGGCGCGCCGGGACGGGCTCTCAAATGTCGTGTTAAGGGGACCCGGCGCGCCGGGACGGGCTCTCAAATGTCGTGTTAAGGGGACCCGGCGCGCCGGGACGGGCTCTCAAATGTCGTGTTAAGGGGACCCGGCGCGCCGGGACGGGCTCTCAAATGTCGTTGTTAAGGGGACCCGGCGCGCCGGGACGGGCTCTAAATGTCGTGTAAGGGCCGCGAGGGCGCTTGCACCGGGCGGGGGACTCTCAAATGTAGTGTTAAGGGAGGGCTCTCAAACGGTGCGCCACGGCTCTCAAACAAGCGCCGACAGGCGCGCTTTGCCCGATCGGGGACTCTGAGTCCGATGAGGGCTCTAAATCGGCCAGCTCACAGCGCCGAACAGCTCATTCGTCTTGGCCAAGGCCGTTTCCCAAGCAGGGCAAGGCCTGGCCCCCAAATTACTGATCGGATCCCTGTGTCAATGAGAAACACGCTGCATCGAAACTCGAATTCCACAGTGCCTAGCATGGTTTGCATGGGCAAGGGTTTCCGAGTCGGCCAGGGGCCAGTGCTCGAGGGGGCCTGAAGAGGGGCCTGAAGGGCCTATCGTGGCTGACGATCAGGGGCCCGAAGCACTAACTGTGATTCACATAAAAGACCCAGTCCGTAGGGCTGGGCCCTCAAATGGCAGTCAAAGGGCCTCTTCCACCGACTGGGAACCCCCTGGGAAAAAGCGGGCCTTTTTGGCCAGAAGCCACCAACAGCTAGCAGTCGGCTCTGTGTGAGTCTGAGCCCTGGGTTCTCCCTTCCCAAGCAGGAAGCAGGATTTACGCTGGTCGGGTTCCCTGAAACATTGATGAGCCCTTATGTCGGTCAGAGTCCACAGTGCCGAGAAGGGGATTCTGTGTCAGCGAGGGTTCCCGAGTCGGCCAGGAGAATATTTGCTGAACAGGGGCAAGGACGGGACCCCGAACTCCGGAAATATTTATGTTTAAGTTATTCATTTTCTTTATATTTATCGTTTTCTTACATCGTCTGCTCATAAAGATAGCTTGACATGTCGAGCATTCCTGTTCAGGAGAAAGCTTGGTTCCTCTAGATTACTGACTTCCAAAATACAAACCGAATTGCATCTTCCGGTGGCTTCCGCCTTCTGTTCCAGTTCAACAATGTAAAAACAACAAGACAACGAAGAAGAGGATACCCACTTGAAAGGAAGTATGCCATATCCGCTGATTTTTGGGAGGGAGCCTTACACCGTCAAGGGATCTTTGTCAACCCTGCCCCCTCCCCCACCAGTCACCATTACCAAGACTGACTGCGCCCCTGGTCACACTGCACATGCCACAAACATCCCAGTAACAGACATAAACAACGAATTCCACGCTGATGGCAGCCCCGTGGCGGCTGCTAACATGGCCAGGCATTATCAGGCAACCAATGCAGTAAGCATCGGCTCGAAATTTAGGCCACTGAACGGATCAAAACGGATTCCTTTGATAGCTTAGGTGCCGCCCCAAACATGTTTGCCTGTGATGTAACTGTTAGGTGACCTATAAAGACTTGCAAAAAGGGGAGGTTCTTCCTCTCATGAAATTGATTAGGGTCATTCGTTTCCATCCACATGCAATACCCTGTACCATGTTACATATGTTGTGTGTCAATTTTCAGTTTTAGGAGCCACAATTTAGTCTTAAGCCCTCGTTTGCAATAACGCCACGAGTCCTGAATAAGCATGTTGCACGTCAACAAGTGTTGCCATCGTGTTGCCGACAATGTTCGGAAATGTACCATGACTATAGTTTTAGGTCTGCGTGGATGACTTCCAGTTCGAATTTTTCAGATGCACAGACCCAATCACAGAATGCACACTCACGAACAGGATTATGTTATAGCTAGCAATATGCAGATGTACAGCGAAAGCAGCCAGCTAGCCACAATCCATGTTGCATCCCGTGTTTAATATGCTAAGCTGGTATGATCAGAGGCAATCACCTACGTCTGAATGTGATGCCAAACTACTCCAGTTCGGTCTCCGATGCCACCGCCGCCTGTTACACAGCGAGCCACCGCGTTGACGATCCGATCACCTAGGCGGCAGCACCGTCGTATCGGCAGAGAAAGACGATATCGGCAGACAAAGCCAAGAACTTCCATCGGTCGGGGAGCGACGGTTTTATATGGTTCAAACTAACCCATTAGTATCTGGTTACACTACGTCCTTCCGCCTCAGAAACTCAGGAAGTTTTCAGTGATAGAATAGCCTCCCCCCCTCGATGCAGCAGTATAATGCAATTGCCAATACAGCCAATACAATTGTAACATAATCATCAAGCAAGTTAAGCCAATTCGCAACTAACCAGGAGAGCTACGTTGCAAAAGGGGCGGTCGTGCTGAGACATCACGCGATATATCGGCATCGTTCGCCACAGCTTGCTTGTGAAACTGGAGTAGTTCTACTGTGGTAGTGATGTGGGAGTTAAGTTCCTTACGACAATATATCCTCAGCCGGTACTTTGATGACGAAATGTTCGCGCAAATCAAGAAACAGTAGGTCAGGCCATAAATGATCGCCCATTGTTTTTAATGTGACGTGTAAATCATACCAAAGATAGTTCCCAGTCGTTTTTAAATCATTAAGCCAAAAATCATGAATGACATCATTATGCCAATCTAGCAGAGAGCACCCATGCCGACGTGCGCTGAATTCGCCGAGCTATGGAGCTATGAGCTATGAGCATATGAGGTATGGAGCGGTATGCAGACTGCCCCGCCCTGATTTTCCAGCACACCAAAGCACGCCAACTGACCTGCGGGTTGCTGAACTCGCCGCGCGCCCGACCCTTGGCGCCGATCGAGCGCACGAGGTCGTCGGCGGGCGGCGGCGGCGGCGCCGAGTGTCGCGAGCTGCGCCTGCTGGCGTACGAGCTGCGCGAGCTGCGGCTGCCGGCGCTCAGCGCCGAGGGAGAGCCGGCGGCGCGCGGCAGCGGCGAGGGCCGGCGCGCCGCCGCCCGCTCCACCGACGAACGGTCGCTGGGCGGCCGCTCCGACGCTGCCACCTGCGGCACGGCCGCGACTCGATCAGCCGGTGCGCAGGGTGCGATGGCCGTGGCGAGACGGGGGAGGTTCAGGCGGCGGACAGAGAGGCGTCTGTGCCACCTGACAGGGCAGGTTCAGGCGGCGGACAGAGAGGCGTCTGTGATGTGAGTAGGGGAGTGTCAGGCGTTGGCTGGGGTTGCCATGGGGAAGGGCAGAGGCGGTGCCGCCTGTGCCGCGGGCAGAAGAGTGTCAGGTGGTGGTTGGACGGTGGCCTATGGAGGACTCGAAGGTGGCGCCGCCCAGGCCATGGGAGGCGATCAGAGATGGCGCCACCTGGAGGATGGTAAAGAGCGATCACCAGTGGGACCAGACACACGACCAGCGTAAATAGAGCCTTAAAGGTAAGGTTACACATTTGAGGATATTGAAACAAGCACCATTTATGATGAAACAGACTCACTTATAACTTTTGCTGTACTTTTAAGTGGAAACGGCTGCTCTAAACAAAAATATATGTATAATAAATATACTCTTCAATGCGTCATTGTTTGATTACGTCTTCGTGCATAGTACAACAATGATTGAGAGCCATTTGATAGCAGTTATGTCTGAATATCAGGCCCACGAAGGCCAGATATGAGCGACTGGACAATCAACTTTGTCTCACCGTGATCACCGCATGACTAATGGAGGGGCACAATTTCATTGACATTGTTATGTCGTCATGGATGCCTGAGTGACCTGGAAATAGTCTCCCTGAAAAAGTCTGGACGTCTATGCGGGCGTGTAAATCAGGAACCAGAGGGGTTTGGGCCCTAGCGAAGGTAGGGCTGTGAACAGCACGAAATGATCTTCAAGCTGGCTCTTTCAGTTCAAAATTTCATAGAAACGTGGAACACTTCCTTTAAGTGGCGTCCAGGAGGAAAATTCGAAGAGGCGATGACGTCATCAAAGCACGACTCAGTGCGTGTCGGATGGCGTAAGACTCAGGACGTCTGTGAAAGAACAGCCACACCGCGGCCCACCGTCGCCTCTCGGTCAGCTACACCGCGGCCCACCGCCGCCTCTCGGTCAGCAACACCGCGGCCCACCGCCGCCTCTCGGTCAGCTACACCGCGGCCCCCTGCCGCCTCTCGGTCAGCAACACCGCGGCCCACCGCCGCCTCTCGGTCAGCTACACCGCGGCCCACCGCCGCCTCCCGGTCAGCAACACCGCGGCCCACCGCCGCCTCTCGGTCAGCTACACCACGGCCCACCGCCGCCTCTCGGTCAGCTACACCGCGGCCCACCGCCGCCTCTCGGTCAGGTTCATCCCTGCTCACCCGTCCATTGTTCGGCCGGTCCGGCACGTCCAGCAGGGAGCCTTCGGCCGAGGAGAGCCGGCCAGGGGCGGCCTCCGCCGGCGAGGCTGCCGCCGGTTCCTCCGCTGCGCAGATGCTGCCGAAGCAGCTGAGCTGGGCCTCCAACCGGTGTGTGTTGGTAGGTTCGAACCTGCGGTGACGCGAGCAGGCCTGAGTATGGCAGGTAGCCATGGTGAAGACTTTGAAAAGAGCGTGCCCACAGAACAGCGTGGCCGAGTCTGCACAGTCGCGCCAAGTTCCGCCTGTATATTCAGTTATTTAAATGATGCCAGTTACAGCACAGAGGCTAGCGTCAGGTTTGCAACAGCCTTTGGCGAAAGGAAGAAGTCGTGACACGGTTTCCCGACAATGTCATGCCGCGGGTGTGGTCGGGCGGTCACACAGTCCGCATTCGTCGGTGTCAGAGTCTGTTGACACTAAGCCGAGCAAAGGTTGCATTGACCTGGAACCTGACCAGTTTTGACGTTGAATCATGGGGTTTAAGTCTATGGTATAATCATTTGCATGGGAGCGACGCAAACGACGCAGTGACTTAGCGACAGCGACGCACTGGGTTTGGGGAAACCGCTGCCAACGTTGAGAAGTGTATCTGCTGTGCGCCGCTCCTGCTTCTACAAGCCCATAAAAACTCATGCATTTGCGTTCCTCCACGAGGCCCAATACGGCTTTTCGTTTTAAGAAGTGTCGTGATTCATGAACTTAAATATCAGTGTGTTAATTACACGAGAGTCAACACATTCCGGTCCTGGACAAAATATTTTCTGTAACATTTAGCTTCCTGAGATCCCAGGCCAACATGTTCCTACCCAGGCGTTATTGGCGCTGCCGTTGTCAAGAGACAGATATTGGGAGACTAGTGACCGCCACTAACTTTAGGTCAGGACTCTGGGTGATCTTGTCCGGCAGCTCGCCGCTGGTCAGCACGGTGACCTGCTTGTTCAGCAGCAGGACCTCGGTGTCGGAGCCCGTCTCCAACGCCCGCTCCATATGGTGTCCGCAGGAGTCCAGCTCGGCCAGAAACGAGTCCAGGCGGGCCACCTGCTCCTCTGCGGACGCACGAAAGCGTCAGTCACGACGCGGCAGCGTGGCAAGGGCCCAAGTCCAGAGCCCTGATGACCTTGGGTTACACATTGGGTCACACTGCAGCGGTGGCAGAGGAGGCGGCTCGCTCTCCTGGTCATCTGGAGACACGCCCAGGGTCAGGGTCAGGGTCACGCAATAGCAGCCGTATGACAGCACGCGCTTGGCTCACCTGGTCACAGAACATCCCACCAACAAAGACAGGGCACCGACGCTAGGAGCGCAGCGGTCTCCACTCACACACACGCCCGGTCCCCACACACTCACCGGCACGCGAGACCAAATACAGGTGCGTGCAGCGGCCGCCGCCAATCCGTGCACACCCTAATCAATGTCGGGTGGCGGCAGGCGCGGCCGGATCCGACGCGACACTGGCTGCCGGCGCGGCCGCGGCGGCAGGGGTGCCGGTGTTCCACCTCAACGCTCCGGTGGCCGCCAGAGACGCCGGGTCAGGGGCGGAACACGACCGCGACACGGCTGGTAGACCGGGAGCCGGCCAGGAGCCGGCCTCCGACATCGGTCGGGGGACGTGCAGAGGCGCGCGGGAGGTGGGGGGGGGGGGAGGGGGGTGATCGGATGACGAATCGGGACGTAAAACAGCCCACCTTAACCTTCGCTCTACGAGGAGTCGTTACAGGCGCTCCCCGAGACTTGTCTCGCATACATTGGTAGCAGTTACAGCCATCGCGTTGTAGTTTTCATAGTCAGAGCTGATATGACATGACATCATCACCATTCCTAAAATTTCTTCAAGGTATTTTCCCAAATACATTATGACCCATTTGTGAAGAGTATGTCCATTAGGTCTCTCGCCGAATCGACAATACAGCTCACTTGTTGACAGCACAGATGCTAAATTTTTGTTTTATGACTATAACTTATTCTGACGTCAGTGGCGTTAGATCTGACTGTGTCTGAGGGTGAAGAGTCGCGGCGTCAGAGGTCAAGCTAGGTCAACAATGTCCAATTGTTCTCGCTCTTAAATGGCATTCATGGCACCTAAACTCGTAAGGATGTTTTCTTAAGGCTCACCACATAAACGACATTTGGCGGGCATCGTGCGACCAATTGGAGTGAAATTTTTGGGTCAAAGTCACGATGGGTCAGTGAAAATGTAAAACAGGCAATTACCGTTAAACATAGTTTGTGCTAAGGCTGGCGCAGAAATGCGTCATTGGTCATTGTTTATTTTTTAACTAGCTTTCCGCGTGGGTACTTGCATGCCAGTCACAGTGGACAGTCCGACCGGCTTCCCATCGGTCGGGGAACCTCCTAGACCGGCGAGGAGCCACAACACCGCGAGACCATGTGGGGTCCCCGAAACCAGTATGGGTTTTGGAACGATGCCAAGACTTGAGTGACTAGGGCAAGCTATCGGGGCATGCAACCCGACAGGTCCAAAGGTCCCGACATAGTAAAGAAACGGCGGCGGTGGTCCACAGAAGCAAGTTGTCGGGGCATGAAACCCGACACGTCCAAAGACCCCCGACATGGTGAAGAAACGGCGGAGGTAGTTCACAGAGTCTTTGAAGCACAATCTTGCGGTAAGTATCCCACTCAGATGTCACCTCTCAAACTGCCCTCTTTTGACCGCCGCGGCCCGGCTGGTCTGTCAACGGCAGAGGCACGGCGCCGGCCAGTCGAACCTCTCCACTTACCTATGCTGGCCAGCTTGTCCTGGTACAGCTGGGCGAGCAGGGCGGCCAGGGCGTCCCGCCGCCGCTGCACCGCCTCCACCAGCGACTGGCAGTAGGCGTTCAGGTCCTGCTCGGCCTGACACCGGACCTGGCGCAGCTGCGAGCCGGCGGCGGCCAGCAGCGCGCGCCGCCGCCGCTGACTCTCCATCTGCCGACAGGCGCACGCGCGCGCCGGGTGAGCTCCCAGCGCGACAGCGGGGCTGCAGGCCAGCAGGTGCAGGGGTACATGACAGCAGCGGTGGTAGGTATCCGTCTACCAGAGTATGCTTGAAGTTCACGACTGAGCAGTCCACGTAAAAGCATGGTGTAGGTTGAGACACGGGCCGTCGAGACATGCCCACACACACGGCACTGAGACACTGAGAGACGCAAATCCTGCCCGGTCAAAGAAGGCAACCGTTGCTTTGTTTTGCAAGTACCGCGACGAGCGTCGTCACGCACCCTTTTGGGGAGCGCCAGCGAATGCATTGACCGTATCAGCGCTTAGGAGGCCAGGACATAGCCGATATTTGAACACGGCCACGCGACTTGGGAGTCCAAGGCGCTAAGTTCTTCACGAGAGGCTTCTTCCTCATTTTCTTCCAACCGTCTAATAGCCACTGACCAGCCTTCTCTACCATTGCCACCGCCTTATCCACCTCCGCCCCCCCCCCCCCCCCCTCCTCTCCACAGGGATTCATAGCCAACATTGTCCGTCTCCGGCCCGCCGCATC